CGCCCCCCAGTGCCCAGCCGGCAGTGCCGGCACGCCAAACCGCACCGCTCATTGATGCCACGGCAAGGGAGAAAGGGCAGCTGGCCTTATCCCTGCCAAGCCCTTCCAGCGATTGAAGCCCAGCCCTCCGATTTCCTCCCCCTCCACCAGTCCCCCACCGTCAGGGCAGTGCACCGACCCTGCTCATTCACGAGCACGGCAGACGCCTGGGCAGCTTCTGCTGCGCGTTTCCACCGCGAGACACATCTGCTGACGAGCAGCGGCATGAGCCCGGAGACAAGGGACACGCCAGGAGCAGAGAAGGTGGCAGCATGCACTGCACCTCCCGGGACTGCAGGCTCCGCAGTTACTCTGGAAGAAGGTTTTCAGCTCGGACTCCTGCACAGGCACGGAGATCAGAGAAAGGAGGTAAATACCCCTCATCGTACCCTCGGCGCAACCTTCCGCAGCACAGCTTCGGAGCAAGGCGTGAAGTGACCAGACACCACACCAGACGGCGGCAGCTGGAGCTTTATCACAAGGGGTCACAGCCCGCCCGACAAGTTTACTCATCCCGAAAGGGCGGGGGATCAGGTCGCGGCTGCTGCATCAGGTCTCAGAACAGAAGAGAGCAACGGGCAACAGGCAGCCTACAGGAATGCTCTTCCCACAGCTTGCTTTAGCTGGAGGTACAGACCTAGGCTCCACACGCAAAGCGGTGTAGGGTCTGAGCAGATGTGGGTGCTTTCATTAGCCTAAAAACCTCCCAGCAAGCTAAAAATACAGATAGTGCGTTCACTCAAGCGGCCTAAATAAGTGAAGTCGTGGAAGAACCATTCCTGCAGCAATAGAGTCTCAGACAGGAATGCGGATGAGGGGCTTGTCAAAGCCCGGTGGTTATTCCAGCATGAACAAGCTGGATATTTGGGATAGCAAAGGAAGCTCAAGCGACTTGTCCTGCAAGCAGGAACTCCCGCATAGCTGTGACTTCCAGCTCAACCCCTCAATAATTTTTTTTTTATATTAGGGCTGGGGGCTCACCCTGCACCCAGCTTCAAGAAGAACCATCTCTGTTTCAGCTATTTAATAACCACTTCGCTTCCCCCCCAGAAGCTTCTCGGCTTTCCATTCCCTCCCACAAACACCAGCGCAGAACACGACCCTGCTGCCCAAGTCCTCTGGCGCGCAGCGAAGCACACTTCGGAGTTACAAGCTCAGTTTTGGCAGACATTTCCCAATGATCTGCACGAGAAGGAATTGCTGGACTGGCCAATATCCTCAATATTAACCGGCATTTAAAGCCACAAAGAATTCAGTGCCACAGATCGGGATCAGCTTTATGAGGAAGACCTGGCAGCTGCCGAAGCAGCTGTTGTAAGAGGCCTCAGACTTCACGCAGAAGCGGCTCAATTCACCCCCAGGAAGAGGCGAAGCGAGCTGACGTCAGGTATCTAGGGCATATCTGAGCTGGAAGAGTCAGGAATTTTATGCTAACATCTGATGCCACCCACAGAGAATTACTTTGGGAAAACCACGCGAGCACCTGCAGCAGCCTGGCAGCCATCCTACAGATTTGAGATGTTGCAAGAGCCTCTGTGACAAGAGACCAGCAGGAAAATCCTCTCTACAGGCAAATAACAGCCAGGGTAGCCAAGAAATCTGCCTCCGTCCCCCCTCCACCCCTTCTCTTTCCAGAAAGGAGCGCGCCAGGAACATTCATCCTCGCCCGAGGCTCCCAGGCGCAAGACCAACTGCTCTCCAGCTCCGGGCAGGTTCCCACGGCCCAGCTGACTGCACCGGCAAGCGCCGAGGAAGCCGCGCAGCCCCGCGGCACAACCGGAGGCAACGCGCTCCGAATCGATCCATCCTTCCTCACAATAATAGCAAGAAACGGGTGTTTTAGCCCAAACCTGTTTAAGACACAGCTCTCGCGACCACAGCCAAAAGCAGGCTGGATGTGCTCCGTCCTGCCGCTGCCGCATTCCGGTTGGGATAACCTCGCTGGCGTGAGCCACCAAAAGCGAGAGCCGGGGAACACAAGTTCCTGGCAGGATTTCCAGGGCTCCAGTTGAACAAGTATATGCTTTGTCTAAAGCTGGCGTTAGCCCCAAAGCAGGGCTGGGATTTTCTCCCTCGTCCTGACCAAACCTGCCCTAATACCCCTTCGGAGCAGCACTAAAACAACTCAGTCACCCTGTTTCAGCCCATAATGCTGCCGGCTGAGGGCCAAGCACCTGCCTTCTGGAATGATCCACAGTGTGTAAAAAAAAAAGAGGGGGAAGAAGAGTTTTTTCCTGCAGCTGGGAACCTCTGCGGCACGGCAGATGAATACGCCCGTCTCCGTAGGCGAATTAACCATGTTTGATAGTGGTCCAAGCTCAGAAGAGCCGCAGGCGTCTGCTCCGAGGGTTAATTAACTACGGCTACGATGGGAAACTTGCACCGAGGAAACTCTATAAGCCCATGCCTTGGCCCAGGAGATGCCACCCCTGTTTCCCAGCTGCAGCCCCACTCCTGCGGGTCTCGGCGAGCTCCTCATCCGTTGGGATCACCTACAACACAGCAGGGAAGCAGAATGGGGAGGGTGGGACTGGAGCAGCCAGTTCTGGGGTCACCAGTACATGAGAGATTGGGAACATGCAGGAGCAGGCCCAGGGAAAGGGCTGTGAGGAGGGTTTGGGGATCAGAGTATCGATCGCATGAGGAGAGGCTGGGAGAGGTGGGATCATCCAGCCCAGAGGAGGTTGGGGGATATCACATCAACATGTATGAGGACCTGGTGGGGGAGGAAAGAAGAATCCAGACTCTTCCCGGTGACAGGACATGAGGGAAGGGGCACAAACCCCGTTCAAGCATAAGAAAAAAAAACCCCAACAACTTTCTTTAGTGTGAGGACGAACACAGAACAGGT